TCGGCCAACGAGGCAGGCAGTATGTAGCAGATTTAGATAAATAAAACTATCTCTTTCATAAGGCCGATGTGCAATATTTAACGCCAGATACTGTATTTAATTAATTAATATATTTATTTTAATTTTATGACTCTTGAAGTTCCTCTAATAAACGATAAATTTAATTTAGTACTGTAGTGTTAGTTAAATGCTTGTTCAACCCAGGTTTCGAACCTGTAACGTTGTATTATCACAAGTAGGCCTTACATGTTAATTAACTCAGAGCCATATTATCGCGCAAGTGCCTAGGGCGCCAGGCCAACTGCCCATTTTTTTTTTAAGTAGGGAAAATTATCGAATAATTCCTCCCGCCTGGATAAAACCAAGGCAGTGTCAGACTCTTACTGACTAAACGCCACCCCGTTCCTACTCCTGCACTTCGAGTCGGAGCCCCGGTAACCTTTTACTTTCTCCGCGGCTCTGTATCAGTATCAGCCTTTCCTCCTTTTGCTAAGCAGTCATGCTAGCTCAGGAGGAAGAGCGAGGAGCGCTGCCTCCTCACAACCCAGGAGTCGCGAACAAAACTCCAGGCGTCAGGGATCGCAGGACGATCTCCGACCACCGTAAGCACGGGCCTGCGGACGGCGAGCATGGGTAGCTCCCTGCCCGACCAGAAACATTCCCAATACGGCTGATGCTGATACGGATTCGCGAAGAATTTAACGGGTTACCGGGGCTCCGGCTCGAAGTGCAGGAGTAGGAACGGGGTGGTTTTTAGTCAGTAAGAGTCTGACATTCCCTCCCGCCTCACCCATGCCGGAGAAGTCATTCGATGATTTTCCCCCTTAACAAAAAAAAAGCCTTTTGAAGCCCAATCTGTGGTGGTCTGATGGCTGTTTGGTCGTACGCTCGGGTCTGGTTCTGAGTGCCAAGGACGAATAACCATCACGATCGTAACGAAAGAGTACGTTCGGAGTTCTGATTGGCCGGCTCCAGTGAATCAACAAATGCGAGAACAGAACGCACTCGATACTCTTACGATTGCGATAGTTATTTGTGCTTGGCAATCTGGTCTGGCGGCGATCTACCCATGCTCGCCGTCCATAGGCCCGTGCTTGTCCAACTGTCCATAGAGATACGGCGGCACCAGCAAAACTAGGGGCACCTATGAGGTGCTTGCATAGGAAGAAAGAAAGAAAATTTATTCATTTATTCAGCACCAGGCACGATGCAGCATAAATAAAATATAAAAAAGACAATAAAGGTATGACAGTGGAAGTAATAAAAACATTAGGTTAAAAAATTAAAACAGAAGAATTAGAAGAGAGACGCTGACAACATGCCTATGCTAAAAGGGTTTTTTTAAGGGGGGAAATCATCGAATGACTGCTCTCGCCTGGGTGACGAGGGAGGGAGTGTCATACTCTTACTGACTAAAAACCACCCCGTTCTTTCTCCTGCACGTCGGGCCGGAGCCCCGGTTATTCGTTAGGTTCTATGCTAAAAGGGTTAGGGCGCTCCTAGGTTTAATATATCTCTGAATTAACTGATTACTTGATATTTTTATTCTAATCTTTGATAAGTGTCTGGAATCGTTAAAACAAAGGTTTTGAATATTGAAAAACCAAAAAAAGGGAAAGAAAGAAAAACAAAAAAAGTAATTCGATTTTAATTTTATTTTCGTTTCTTTTATTTTAATACATACATTATTTACAGATTCATTTACAATAATAGTTGTTTTTTTTAAAGCTTGTCCTAAGACTGGAAATATTTTGAAAAATTTTGGATAAACCTCATCAAGATACTCCAAAAAGTCTTTTATATATTTCCTACTTTAGTCTTTGTCATAAAGTACAAAATTGTAATAAAAAATACAGAATGGGTTGCCAGTTGTGCTGCACAATATTGTTAGGGAAAATTGACAATGAATAATAATAACTTAAAAAAATGGTTGAAAATAAAAAACATGAATATTTTACTACATATTATCGAAATCAGTTCAATATTGTTCGAGATTAGAACACACAGGAAATAATAGGACAAATAAAAATATATTTTACAAAGAATAGTCATAAAATAAATTATAAATAACAGTTTATACATAATTAATAAAATCACCTAGTACAAAAAAGTCGTATTAATTATTATATTACACAAAAATACTATTTATCTACCTACAGATAGGAAATATCACTTCGTTTCATTGTGAGGTCGAAAAAATTGTGAATATGAAATTATACACAAAGTTAAAATTATTTAGACACCACTGACAAACGGTGAAGGAAAACATCGTGAGGAAACCTGGGCTTTTTTTATGGGATAAGCGTGTAAATGGGGCCGACGAATTACATGATTGTAAGCAATCAGCGTCGCCCATGGACACCTGGAACACCGTAGGCGTTACAAGTGCGTTACCGGCCTTTTAGGGATTAGGAATTGAGGTATGTTAGGGATTCAGGCATTGGGGAAATTGTGGGGGTAATTTGTCGTCCCGTAACCTCACTCACGTCGGTTTTCTGCTCGGCCGTGGTATCACTATCTATTCGTGCCGAAGCATGGCTTTCCCACACTCCGCATTGAGCAAGCGTGGTGATTAATGCTCAAACCTTCTCCGTGTGAGAAGATGCCTTTGGTCAGCAGTGGCCACTTATAGGCTGTTAATGTGATCATAATGTTTTCAACCTCACAACTATTAATAGTTAACTGGCACATTTATTTATTAATAATACTAAATAATAGTACAGTTTAAACAATAAATAATAATTATTATTTGGCATCAATATGTATCACTCTTTTACTTGCACTTTTATATTAACACTAGTTTCAGCCAGCGGCTTTGCCCACGTTCCCGTGGGTTGAAAAGTAGCCTATATGTGTTATTCCAGACCATAACCTAACCCCGTTCCAAATTTTATCTCGATCCCTTCAGCTGTTTTTGCATGAAATAGTAATAAACACACACGCATATGTCTGTACAAACTTTCGCATCTATAATATTAATAGGATATAGTTTTTATTACATACATGGTATTTATAATTTCTTGTATTAATCGTATCAAACATTATTTTCTTATGATTTAAAAAAACCTGATGATTACTAAAACACATGTTTGTATTTTAGAGAGTCAACCAATGTAGCGGAAAAGAAAATAAGATAATGAAAGTTAAAAGAGCTGTTTAATAAAATATAATATTATGTAGGTACTTACATACATTTATGCATTGAGAAAAATCATGGCACAAGGAAAATAAAGTCTTGACAGATTTTATTGGAAGAAGAATATACTAAAGAGAATACGTCAGCTAACTTATAGTAAAGAGTAGGAATATGAGGAAGGTATATGATAATGATAATAACAATGGAACGTAGGTGAGCAGCCTATAGTATAACAAAATAGTTTACTAAAATTGTTGTGTAAAATTTTCTTTCTGTTATATAAAACATTTCCTTTACTGAGTGACTGACAGACAACACACAGTCGATACTATCGGACCTAGGAAGCTGAAACTTAGCATGTATATTCCTTTGGGAGTGTAGGGTACTAGGGGACGATTTCACAATATTCCCACGAGAACCGTAAAACGAGAAGCATCTATTTGTCTGTACGAATTCGCTGACTGAAAGCTTGTGTATAAAAAAGTGCGAGTTTAAAAAAAGAGACCCCACTCATCTGGAATTAACTTCACATTTTCCAACTTGACTCAAAACTTTACCTATTCTCTCGATTAAAATTTTCGCATTCTTCTCCGGCAGAGAAGGTAGAATGTCTCTTATAACAATTGAGTTCTTTTTGTGGAACATATCACTCAATAAGGAACCCACGGATTTTGACGTAAATAGTTTCTGTAGAGAGTCTATAGTTCTTTTTCTGAACACACATAGGTTGTCCAACATCAAACTGTGATACACATTATATTTTTTCAAAAGTCTATAGCCGTGTAAAAGTCCTGATTCATTGTCTAAAAAGATTAGAAGTCCACTGTCCATTTTCTTAGCCAGATTGTGAGCTGGCCCATCCATAATGTTCACGTTCCACTGATAGTTAAATAAGTTATTAACTATCCTATCCAAATTAGCTGTTAAATAATCAAATATGATCAAATCCGACCACTGAGCCAGTTCCAAAAACTTGTCAATCGTCTTTTTGTTCAGCTTCACGTTGATATAGGTGAAGTTCTTCATCTCGGATTTAGATTTCATATCCTTAAATCTAAGTTTGTCTATCAAAATATGCTTGCTTTCTGTATCATTCTCTTTCAAGGACATTTTTAGTATATCATACTTATTCAAATGTCTTGTCGTCGGGCGAAAAATATCAGGAATGGATGCTGATTCTAAACTAGGTATGTATTGTGTCAAAACTACCGCTCTATTTGATCCCCATTGTGCCGCAGCGATGTCATTAGCCACGTTTTTCCAAAGTTTATCCTTTAAATCAACTATTCTCACTACAGATGGGGCTAAATTCGTCAAATTCAGCAACCTTCCTACGTAGAAACTAAATATCTCTCCTTGGATTTGATCTGTATTTTGCCTGTATCTTACGCAAGCTTGGAGACCATCTTTGAAAGTAACTAGACGATTCTGCATCCTACCACATCCACCCTCCATTTTAACAACCTCTGCATCATTGATATACTGTTCCCAGATCTTCGCTGACCCTTCACCATAACCTTGAGGCATTGCATCTTCAATTTGAGGTCCCCAAAATATACTATCGTATAAAACGGTTGACCCATCTGGGGTGAAGGTCTTGTTCAGTATTATCGTATGTCTATTATCACTTTTTGTATCTTTTAGTATATCTTTCATATCTTCTGTCAATCCTTTAGGATATATATCTTTATTATACTTGTTTTCTTGTCCAGTAAAAGATACTGCGGTGAATTTATTTGTTTCAACTTTAGCTACATTTTTCACTACAGCTATTTTATGTACGGGTGCAGTTTTTGGACTTTTTGCTATACTTTCTGTGTATTGTCCACTCATTATAACTATACCGATAGCTAGACCGAATATAAAACTTATAATTACACTTATAAAACAATAGGTTAGACTTTCATTTCTAGTCTTTTTGTTTATACTTGTAAAATCGTTGTATAATACGTATGGGTCTCGGAAATTTATTGTCATTGCCGTTTTTTGAGAATGTATTTGTTTGATGTCTTTAACTGTTGGTATCCTGCTTGGTACAGCTGGTGTTGGTGGGCTATCTGTTCCTTTAAGGTTCATTTTTGTATCTTTATCTATATTTTCTTTCTTTTGTTGCTAATCTTCAACTGGTGTCATTGTTTTCGGGAATTCTGTAACAAGAGAAAATTCATATTAGGTTTGAAAATATTTATTTATAGATTTAGCCTGAAATGACGTAAAAACATTATAAATACATTGTCATATTTCATAAATAAAGAACAGAGCAGGCGATTTCTATCCCACTTTAACTCTAACTAGCTCTTACAAGGTCAAAGGCTCTTTCGTCAAACTAAAAAATACATCAAAATCTGTTTAGTAGTTTACACATAAAAATCACAACAACTTATAATAACCATAATTACTACTAAATACAAGCCTAAATTAACCTATACATGGACAAAAAACAGACCTCAACTAAGAACCCAGACACTTTAAACAAACGATGTAACAATAGGGTCCGGGATAATTGTGGGTTTGTTACAAAACCCACCCACTGCACAGTAAAACGCCCACAGATTTAACAGTGAGTTATTTTGAGTAATCAGTCAATTAGTGGCCAGTGTTTTTTTTATTAGAGATGTGTCTGTATCAACCTTTTTTTTGTAGATTATACAAACTTTTTTGTAGGTTATACAATTTTTTTTTTGTTAAATAAAGGTTGTTATGGTACTGAACTACTGTTTTGTGTTTTTTTTAGATTTTGTTTTGTTTTTTTTTGTGTTAGAAGAGGAGAATATTTTTGTAGTTGATAGAGGTTTTTTTGGTTTTTTGAAGTGTTAAATTGTAATTGTTTAGTCCATAAAAATAACTCTTGTTTTCTAATTAACTATATAGCTTTTAACATAGGTTACTTATAAACAGCTACAGTCTGTGACAGTGCTGGTACTAGGCTATGGACCTCCTCTTTACATTTCAACGCTTAGTATGCGAATTAGGGGTCGCAGCAGCTTTATCAGAGAGCGTTATTTATTTATCTATGTCTAGTTTTTGGAGGACTTACAACTAAAAACAACGGATAAAAATAACAATAGACGTTAAATGTGTATGTCCCTTAGTCGGGTATACGACACCCACGAGAAGAGTAGCGGTGATGTACTAATGTATTATATTCTACTACTTACCACATAGTGTATAAATTTAAGCAAACAATAATAATTCTCACATATTACACATACCTACGACATTCATAATATACAGAAATCACATTCTTTAGATGCAGCGATAATATATGAATGACATTGACCACCATCTTGTTTTTTTTTCCGCAATCAAAATGGCGGGCAATCAATATTTTTTATGACATTAACGTATTATGAAAAAAAACCTCGTATGACGCTACTGGTGGTTTGAAGGACTTTGATGGAGAATATTGAGTCTTATAACAGTTGAAATAAAGCTGAAATGTGGAATTTTGGTGTTGTTTTTTTTATAAACTTTTTGACGGGGAAATTTGAATCTTATCTCAGTTGAAACAAAGTTGATATCGTGGAACTTGATGTCGCTTTTTGAGAAAAAATTTGTGAAGATGATCGATTACGAATTTTTACAAGAGAATGTATAAAAGGTTTAATCAAAAGGTTAAAATTTTATTTCTTTCTTGTTTTTAATGTTTTAAGATACCAGCGCGTCAAGTTATTGCATTTGTTTATTGATTTTCAATCTTATTTAGTTGTCTATTAAGATGAAAAAATATTAGGCACGCATTTTTTTATTTTGTCGTATAATCAAATGATACTTAGATAAAACGAATCAAAGTTTAGGAGTGGAGGCTAAAACGTCATTTCTACGTATAAACTGTAAATAGAAGTGACGTCACGCGACATTTCAAATCAATATATCGTCGAAAGTATTCGTTTCTGTAAGAAAATATAAAATACGTGTCTAAGGTTTTACATTACGGACATTAAAATAAAAATTAGTCATCTAATCTATTTCATTTTAAAAAGTTCGAAAAGCCTTTGCCTTTTTTTAAATGTACTGTTAACATGTATAAGTACCTAATAATTTTAGCCATTTAATATACATAACATCACGCCTTTTTATCCCCCCGAAGGGGTAGGCAGAGGTGCACATTTCGACACTTCATGCCACTGTACAAT